GTGAACAGTCTCTGACCGGGCAGACGTGACGTGAACAGTCTCTGACTGGGCAGACAGGACGTGAACAGTCTCTGACCGTGCAGACGGGACTTGAACAGTCTCTAACTGGGCAGATGTGACGTGAACAGTCTCTGACCGGGCAGACGTGACGTGAACAGTCTCTAACCGGGCAGACATGACGTGAACAGTCTCTGACCGGGCAGACGTGACGTGAACAGTCTCTGACCGGGCAGACGTGACGTGAACAGTCTCTGACCGGGCAGACGTAACGTGAACAGGCTCTGACCGGGCAGACATGACGTGAACAGTCTCTGACCGGGCAGATGTGACGTGAACAGTCTCTGACCGGGCAGACAGGACGTGAACAGTCTCTGACCGTGCAGACGGGACTTGAACAGTCTCTAACCGGGCAGACGGGACGTGAACAGTCTCTGACTGGGCAGACAGGACGTGAACAGTCTCTGACCGGGCAGACGTGACGTGAACAGTCTCTGACCGTGCAGACGGGACTTGAACAGTCTCTAACCGGGCAGATGTGACGTGAACAGTCTCTGACCGGGCAGACAGGACGTGAACAGTCTCTGACTGGGCAGACAGGACGTGAACAGTCTCTGACCGGGCAGACGTGACGTGAACAGGCTCTGACCGGGCAGACAGGACGTGAACAGTCTCTGACTGGGCAGACAGGACGTGAACAGTCTCTGACCGGGCAGACGTGACGTGAACAGTCTCTGACTGGGCAGACAGGACGTGAACAGTCTCTGACCGTGCAGACGGGACTTGAACAGTCTCTAACTGGGCAGATGTGACGTGAACAGTCTCTGACCGGGCAGACGTGACGTGAACAGTCTCTAACCGGGCAGACGTGACGTGAACAGTCTCTGACCGGGCAGACGTGACGTGAACAGTCTCTAACTGGGCAGACATGACGTGAACAGTCTCTGACCGGGCAGACGTGACGTGAACAGTCTCCGACCGGGCAGACGTGACGTGAACAGTCTCTGACCGGGCAGACGTAACGTGAACAGGCTCTGACCGGGCAGATGTGACGTGAACAGTCTCTGACCGAGCAGACGTGACGTGAACAGCCTCTGACCGTGCAGACGGGACTTGAACAGTCTCTAACCGGGCAGACGGGACGTGAACAGTCTCTGACTGGGCAGACAGGAAGTGAACAGTCTCTGACCGGGCAGACATGACGTGAACAGTCTCTGACCGGGCAGATGTGACGTGAACAGTCTCTGACCGGGCAGACGTGACGTGAACAGTCTCTGACCGTGCAGACGGGACTTGAACAGTCTCTGACCGGGCAGACGGGACGTGAACAGTCTCTGACTGGGCAGACAGGAAGTGAACAGTCTCTGACCGGGCAGACAGGACGTGAACAGTCTCTGACCGTGCAGACGGGACTTGAACAGTCTCTAACCGGGCAGACGGGACGTGAACAGTCTCTGACTGGGCAGACAGGACGTGAACAGTCTCTGACCGGGCAGACAGGACGTGAACAGTCTCTGACCGTGCAGACGGGACTTGAACAGTCTCTAACCGGGCAGACGGGACGTGAACAGTCTCTGACTGGGCAGACAGGAAGTGAACAGTCTCTGACCGGGCAGACGTGACATGAACAGTCTCTGACCGTGCAGACGGGACTTGAACATTCTCTAACCGGGCAGACGTGACGTGAACAGTCTCTGACTGGGCAGACAGGACGTGAACAGTCTCTGACCGGGCAGACGTGACGTGAACAGTCTCGATGGAATACCAATGCTGGACGGATCCAACGACGATGATCCCATTCCAGGAGAGACCAGTGAGGAAGACTCCACTGCCCTCCTCTCCTCATTCCTCTGGGCACACAGGGAGAAATATTTAAAAAGAGAAATCCCATTCTCCCTCTCAGCCGGCTAAAGTTCGCTCTGCTAAATTCCACATATGGCTCGTTCGTTCTGTCACGCTGTGTAGTGGGAATAAATCCGTGGACTCAGGTGCGGAGTGAAATTAGTTATTTTAATAAAGACAAAAGCATAAAATAAACAAATCAACAAAAGAAAACTACGATCATAACTCAATCCAGTACAAACAAGGCAGGGCAAGACAGGCACGGAACTTCACGCAACAACATACATAACAAATGCAACGAACGAGCACAGGACAGCAAACACAGGAAGACTAAATAGGGCGGCAAACAAAGGAGGGTAACCAGGCTGACAGGTGGAGCAAATAAACCAATAATCAGATAACAAGGGGGAGGGATCAAACAATGACAAGAGCACATCATGGCTCAAAATAACTAAACACCCATGTGCATCACAGACAGGACAGACATGTGACACTTATGATTTACGATCATATTTATGTCCATATTACATTTTGCTTTCCTGGTACATAACTGTTACAGGAACAATAGTGAAAAACTAGTTTCAATGAAAGAGTTGTTGTTTAACATACTAAACAGAAATTTTATGCTCACCTCCCTAACCCCTCCCGAACAGCTATTTTAAGGGGACACGTGGCTTTCCATCTGTTTTAATTTATTATGTCATTATTGCTGCATAAACCTTTTTAATTGACTGCAGTATATAGTAAGTAAGTATGCATGCTGAACCAAAACATTTATTGAAAATAAAAATAAAATAAAAATGAAAGTGTTATAGCCCAGTTATCATTCTCAGATTTGTTGCTGACAACAATCATGGGAGACAATTGTCAGAAGACTTCACTAAAAGTTACAAAGTTGGTGTTTAAACGACACCAATTCATAATCAGTAATATTACTGATTTAACTGCACTGACACGTTCGAACGAGAACAAAATTTTAATTGAATATTGCTGGATAATTACATAAATTTGCATCATTGACACTGAACACTGAACTGACATGAGTTGAATAATAACACTGTTGCTTTCAGTAGTGCTGCTGATCTTTTTTAATTGTTTTTGAGCACATACAGTAAGCTTATAGATAACAGAAAGGCCAACAGTCACACTAAAAGCCAATTTTTGATATCATGGGGACTTTAAAAACACTGTAATGCATGCCAGGCAGTAGCTGGCAATGCCATGTTGTAAAGAAAAAGACTACTGAACACGTAACATGCATACGCATGACATCACTATTTGCACAAATTTGTGTTTTTGTAATAACAGTATCGTTTTCAAAAATGTGCACTTTGAAACCCATTTTCAAAAGAATTCGTTTCGTGTCATTGTTGTGTAAAAGAATGCATAAAAAGTTTTCTTTTTTTTTTTTGTTGTACGCCCCCTGAATAAACAACAAATGCAACAACAACATTAACAACAACACATGCTGGTGTATCCTCTACAAATGAGAACATGTCCTTATATCTTTATGCTGTCAGATCTAGTATTGCATTTCAGGAATAAAGCAGTGCCATCAGCATCTTCAGAAAAGGGTGTTTCTCACTGGAGAATGTGGTTAGTCCTGTAAAGTGAGTTAGTTCGTTTTTTTGTTTTTGTTTTAAATCAATCAAACATGACAGGTTTTACTTTCGATGACAGTGTGATATCACAGATACTCACCTCTGTCAAGCACTTTAACCTGGTATCCACAGAGGCCCTTCATGGAAACTGCTGAAATAGGACTGGTAGGAAGGGCCAGATACAGTAATAAACTAATATTGGATCTCCATCATCTGTTTATATATATATATATATATATATATATATATATATATATATATATATATATAAAATGTACTTTATTTGGTTAAATTTCATGTAGTCTGAATTAAAGTCAAAAAGTCACTTATGCTCATCAAGGCTGCATTTATTTGCACAAAAATACAGAAAAAACAGTAATATTTTAAAATATTACAATTTTAGAACTAATTTCTATATTCATTTTAAATTAATAAAATGTATTCCTGTCAGGGCAAAGTTGAATTTTCAGTATCCTTACTCCAGCCTTCAGTGTCACATGATCCTTAGATTAAACTATATTTATAGATTATTTTTCTGTAAGGGAATATTTATTTATTTAATGATGAAATAAAGAGTTAAATGGAGATGAAATAGAAGGCACAGTGTAAAACAAAACTATTGACGAGGTTAGACTACAGGCAGTCTTGTTTGATTATCTGAAGCATTGTAGGAATTCCCATTAAGGTTTTGATTGCCCGAATTACAGCCTCTGTAAAGGAGTGATGAAAACCAGGCTTATTGGAAGCACTTGATAACTTAAAGTTGAGCCACTGTAGTCACATGGAATATTTAAACATTTTCTTTGATGACTTTCTGGGCCGTCAAGTTTCAATCCCTTAGGGTGCATATGTGGTAGTGATACAGCTCTAAAATTTAATAAAAAATATCTTCATTTGTGTTCCGAAGATGAACAAAGGTCTTACGGGGTTGGTACAGGATGGGGGTAAGTAATTAATGACTTAATTTTCATTTTTGGGTGAACTATCCCTTTAATAGATGCTTAAATTTTTTACACATTGCACCTTTAAAGTAAGGGCAGCTGATTTACCAACGGATTTTCTGTCGCATTGTAGCTTGTCAGTGAATGTCGATGTGAGAGAGAAAAAAATAAAACATTTATAAATATTATAAATAAATTAGTATTGTCACTGTCAATACAAAATATTTTCCCGCTTTTTCCAGAATAATGTATGCCTCGGATTATATAACCTCTCATAACAGGCTTTATTTCTAAAATAATTTTCTTATTTTCTTTCTCTCTTACACTTTCAAATTTTTGATTCTCATAAGAAAACAATCATAAAAGTAGAAATTTAGCAAACATGTAATCTATTTCACGTAAGCCTAATCTACTAAAAATTATTTTAATCATTATTTTGATTAAAAAAGGGCATACGAAGACATATAGTCGATTGTAAGAAATGACAAAATTAGAATTTTTTATTTCTTTAGACGCTCGTGTTAAATAAATATCAGAAATCCCCGTAGGATACAGGTGGAGCTGCTGGGACTTTTATTTTGAATTGTCCTTTACGGTCCTTATGTAGGTCACAGTCTTCAGCTTCACGCTTTGTTTGGTCTCACGTTGCTGCATGCTTTGACAGCCCTAGTCAGTAGTCAGTCACAGAGAATTTATATTTCTTAAATAACTGGTTAACCTTAATTATACTTAAGCTTTAACTCAGTATCTAACTCAGTTCTACGTGTGCTTTTCTATTATTTCCTAAAACAGGAATGATGATTTGTCAAATTAGCTTCAACGGTTAACGTTAATCCAACTTTCTAACCTTGACTGAATTTGATCACGGTCGAACTAACGTCACGTTAATGCGAAAATATAGAGTTTAAAATATATGATGTTACGGAATATTTGTAGGCATCACAGACAATTTGGCCGGGTCATTTGGCCATTTTCTCAAGGGCATCATGTTCCTAGCTTATCAACACACCAACAAAAGGCAAAATATGCCAGTGCCATAACGGGTAAGATGATTACAGAAACGTATAGCGGACGACCCGAATATGCATGATGCATGATCTCTTGTTCTTACATCGCGTTTTGCAGAAAGGAAGAAGTTCTACGAGAACGTCTCGATATCTCAAGTAGATGGTGAGCGTCATTAAGCAATGCAACACACATCTGCAGCTTTAAAGTAATAATAAGCGTAGTTTTTTTTTAACAAGAGAAAAAAAATTCCTGTTTGAAAATAGTCTTTGTGTTTTCCACAGGGGGTTTGTTTGAAATAAACCTTGACAAGCGAAAGCTGAAGACTCCAGGTGGAAAGCTGTTCACAGTTCCCAATGAAGCTCTTGCCATAGCTGTTGCAACAGAGTGGGACGTTCAGAAGGAAACACTGAAGTTTTACACCATGCACCTAGTAGGCCACTATTATTTAACGTTAAAGTTTCTAAATTGTATATAATAACTATATTATCACCCACTGATATATTCAAAGTTGCATATAAAATTCAACTGTATTCATATAGATAATGACTGTCAATCGCATAAAGCACATTATACAGTCGGTAAAAAGAAAGCACACCCTCTTTGAATTCTTTGGTTTTTATGTATCTTTTGTCTTTAGCAGATCTTAAAATTAGTTGAATACAACCTCAGATGAATAACAGCATGACATATTACATTGTCATTATTTATTTAACAAAAATAAAGCCAAAATGGAGAAGCCATTTTTGCAAAACTAAGTGCACCCTATGATATGATGACCACTTTTAACAGAAAAAAATAAGTAATTGTTTGTTGTATGACATTATCAGTCTCTCACAAACATCGTTGTGGAGGAATTTTGTCCCACTCTTCTTTACAACATTGCCTCAGTTCATTAAGGTTTGTGGGCATCTGTTTATGCACAGCTCTCTTAAAGTCCCCGTGAACCGGAAGTTGCAAACGATTTTTCTCCAGTGCTGTGACGTATTTCCAAGTGAAACGGAATATTGAACAGAGGGCAGGGTTTTACTCTAGCGCTCCTCCTCTCCATCTCTCGCTCATAGCAAACTAACGGTTTGAGGGGAGTGGTTAAGCGTTTCCCCACCCAAACTGTGAAACCTACGTCATCAGAAAAAGAAACCGTTCCAGACCGGAAGTAACTTTTCAGATTTTGATTAAAGATTACTAAGGTAAAACATTTTTTAAATATATTTTTACTTGCACGGATTAATTGTTCACTACAAGACTAGTAATATGCGCTAACAAAGTAAATAGGTTCAATTTTGATTTCACGGAGGTGAAATCAAAGGTCTTGATTTCGACCCAGAGGTCTTGCGGTTTGTTTAGATGCAACTTTACAGAATCGGGTTGAGGTCTGGACTTTGACTGGGCCAGTGAAACATTCTGTTGTAGATTTGCTGACATGCTTGTTATCATTGTCCTGTTGCACGGCCCAATTTCAGCCAAGCTTTAGCAGTCAGAACAGGTGACATCACATTTGACTCTAGAATACTTTGGTATACAGAGAGGAGCTCATGGTCAACTCAAAGAGGTGTTTGTGCCAAAATGCTTTGTTTGGTTTCCACAAATGGGGAGGCAAAACACATCCACTTTGGTATTGTCGGATGACCTCTGTTTCCAGAGGTCTTGTGGTTTGTTTAGATGCAACTTTACAAACCCTTTGCAATATTCCTCCTTGGCGTTGTGTAAACACACACTTGGTGTCCATTCTTCGAACCTTGCTTAATATATCAGAGATGGTTTAACAGGTGCCAGATCTTCTAATCGTGATAACTGATCTCTGGCTAATTTGGTTCACATTTGTGGATTTGACTAAAATATCTGGTTTAAGTTGTCTAAAATCACTGATGGACTACACAACTCAATATTATACTATTGTTTTAAAATTATTTTTTATAGTTTTTATTATTATAATCGTTCCCTGGTTCTCTTGTAAGAAAGTAGCAGTGGCTGGGACAGACCTTTAAGAAATAAGCCTGCTCCTGATCAGCTTTGTACTTATAGACTTGTTGCTATGACAACAACTCTGGGATGAGTTTCGCAGAACCTCACAATCAGTTTGTCAAGGGCATTTCATTAGCGGCGCCTCGTTGCTATTTACCCTCTCACTGTAATTCCCATGGAAGCAGTAAATTTGTTTTTTTTAATTTTACACATGGCTTCCCCATTTTGGCCTAGTTTTTGTTAAAGAATGACGCACTGTAATATGTCTTAAGTTGTTATTCATCTGAGGTAGTATTTACCTAATTTTAAGACCTACTAAGGACTAGATGATTTTTTTTATTATGTCCTGATATGTAGAACCATAGTGTTAGGGGTGTACAGTCACAGACCCAGAACCAGATATGAAGAATGAAGACACGGAGTCAGAATTATTAAAAAAAGAAACATTTTACTGAATATAGCTTGCAGTTTCATCAGCAGAAGTCAGCTTCAAGACTCTCACTGGAGTTCGTAGGCTGCCTTCCTACAGTTACAAGGATCACAGCAGTTATACCATTTCCAAGGTCTAAGCTACGTTATTGCTTACACGTTAAATGATTCTCATTGGCTAAGAAATAGATAAACATAGTAATTTTCCACACATATACAGATAGACAGAAGCATATCTCCATCGATTCTGCAGCTGAAACTCAGAGACAAGTCATGGCCTTCCAGGTCACAGATTTGGGTTGGGCGCCGGTATGTCCAAAAGAACAACACAGTCAATCTCCAATAATGGCAGTGGTTCCTTAACCTGCAATCTAGAAGACTAACACACACACACCGACGCACTGCTTTTCCAAGGTTGGATTTAGCCAGGCTCTAACTATAAACAGGAGAGTCATCTCAAAACATCAAGATAATGCCTTATTTCGCTCAAGGATAGCTAAACTTTAGTGTAACTGAAGTAAGACTACAACAAAGAAACGGTTCCTTAAACTATTGGCTTCAATGACCCCTTTATGTTTTAACACTTTGGTGACCCTTCTCAAACACAATACAAACCCTATTTCCCTATTATTTTTGTTGTTACTGCATTCAGATATCAAATACAGACATTAGAAAATACATTTCAGAAGAACATTTCAGTAATCACACTAGTAACTTCTATAACAAAGTAAAATCTCACAAGCCTAGAGAAGTCATTCAACTAATTTGATATTTAGAAAGAAAAACATTGATTAATACCTTGATTCTAATTACTCATCATTACATATATATTGAAGCAGCAGTGGATTCCAATCCACCCCCTTCAATAGAATTTAAAGAGGGTGTACTTTCTTTTTCACATGAATGTATATACTACAGTATGTAGCAATTGCTACAAGCAACTGCTTGATTGTTTATATTGTAACAAAATGTGAACTATATAATTGCCCAGCCCTAATTTAAATGCAACTAGGCTATATACACACACACACAAAACAATTGAACTGGCTTAAATTGTATTTATGCTAATAAGACTTATTTCTGTCCATATAGACCACACTTTGCAACACAGCTCTTGATAACCCAACACAAAGGACGAAAGAACAAATAATCTCAGCAGCTTTAAAGTTTTTGGAGACTGACACTCTCTGGTAAGGTTCACTGGTTTATTACTTGATGGTATTTAATGAATTAAACCAAGATCTTACTTGGCCTTCTCTCCCATTATTGTGCCACAAAAATTGCATTAAAGGTAAATGGTATTAGTTCTCCTTAATAGATCTGCTGGTAGTATTATGATATCATTAACCAGATCTACTGTACCTTGTTTGCAGTTACAGAGTAGAAGAACCTCAAGGTCTTGTGGAACTGCAGACAAATGAATGGGAGCCTGTACTGAACTGGATAGAACAAAGGTGATGTTTTGTTGTTTTGGATAGATTAGGTCTTAAATGGGTCATATAATGCCATTTTTGTACAAGTTAATATGAATGTTTAGGGTCTAAATGAAAACTTTGTAATATACTTTTATTAAAAATTCTCATTAGTATTGAACTCTAATTTCACCTGGTCAAAAACATCTCTGTTTTCAGTGCATATGCCTTTAAATGAGAATGAGCTTCGCTCTGTTCTGCTGGCGTTTTGATAAAACGCACGTGGAGTGTTGCCGTGACAACAGTTAAGGGTATATTTAGAAGTTAGAAGAACAACAGCTGTAGTCTCTGAGGACACATCTGTGCAATCGTATCAGTTTGAACCAGAGTCGGACCCAGAACAAGATGACGGCCGCAAAGAATTTCGACACTTAAGGCTCGAACAGGACGTTTCTGAATGATTGGTTAACATAATGTCACTTTGATCTATTTTTGTATGCACTGGCAGGGTACGTTACTTCATTGACAGATTGACATTACAAATGGTCATGAAAAACTTTTTTTCGTGATTTGCAAAGATTAATATAAAGGTTAGTAAAACGCAGAGCCGGACAGTAACAGAGTATATTTACTTGAGTACAGTACTTAAATACAATGTTGAGGGATCTGTACTTTACTTGAGTGTCATTTTTGGGGAGTACTCATGACTTTACTCAAGTACATTTTGTACTCTTTACTCCACTACATTTCTTATCCATAACCATGAGTACCACTACCAGTTACTACTTAAAAACAAAACAAAATAAAAAATCTCTCGGAGACCCTCAATTTGTTGTTTCCCTCTCAAACGTGATTGGATTGCGCAGGCACCACTGATTGGGACAGCCTATCAGCAATCACCTTCAGCTTTCCGCCAAAGTCAACTCCATGGTCAGATTTAGATAAGAGACGAGACCATGGACGAAACAATGGATGAAGACGTAGCAGGTCCATTCGGGGAATGTGCGAACCCGTGGCCCCATCTCGCCAGACTATTTCAATTTTCTGAAATTTCCTTAAATGTTAAATAAAGCAACATGGTAAAAAGATAAAAATGACTTGATTTTACTTTCAATTCTTTTACATTCTCCAAGATATTATTAACATAAACTCCATGCAGGACGTTTCTGTCCATAAATGTAAGGATTATGGCAGTAGTAATGCAATCCAGTACTTTTAAAAATAAGTACTTTTACTTAAGTAGACTGTTGCACTTTCACTTGTACTTGAGTCAAATTTAGCAAGGGGTATCTGTACTTTTAGCTGTGTACTCTGTCCGTCAAACGTTACACTCACTTCTTCTGGAGGTGCAGCAGGTACATGAATAATTGGTACCGATTCTTTTTTCAGGAGCAGCTTCTTAGCAAAAACAGCTTTATACTGATCCTCGTTTATAAAACAGTCTGGTGAGAAATGATTTGAGCGCATTGACGTAGATCGTGGGGAATATTCTCTTCGAAAATAATACTCAGTCACTGCATCTTCAGCGGTTCGGACAGTGTGGGTTTGTGTTGAAACACTGCTGTCAATCGACAATCGGGGGGGGGGGGGGGGGGCGTCCTTTATATTGACGTCACAAAAACGAACGGCTCAATTTGAGGGAGGGGAAAACATAAGGAGATTAAAACAAAGACACTAGATGGATTTTTATCATTATATGGTGGTTGTGTACAGGCACTGCCAACACACATTTCATTACAATCAACTTGTAAAAGTGCATGTACCATTATATAATTGTCAAAATATATAGCCACAATTAATGGTGTATATAAACATCTTGTTATTTTTTTTTTAGATACAATGTAGTCATTGGCTCATCCTCCAATATAATGGGCCCTCAAATCCCAGAAGAGACTAAGGCGACATTTCGTCAACACCTTCAATCCTACAATTTTTGGTCTCTGACAGGTAAAGATAATTGGTGCTTTTGAATCTTATGTGAATGGGCCTGTTTGAACAGTGCAGTTTCTAATGTTCCTACAGGGCTTGAGTATGTGATCACTCAGCTGAAATCCTTGATCTTGTCCTTTGGGCTGATTGACAGACACCTAAGCGTGGAACAAGCGGTTCTGCTGTCCAGACTTGAGGAAGAATACCAGGTATGGTGGTTTCTTTTTTATTCTAAATGATTAATGATTCTAGCATGGTACAATTTTCCCCATGTTTACCATTACTGTACATTATGTTCTGTTTTGTCTTAGATCCAGAGCTGGGGAAATGTGGAATGGGCCCATGATTATGACATGTATGAGTTGCAGGCACGAACAGCTGCTGGTGCAATGTTTGTGCATCTGTCTTCTGAAAGCACAGCCGTTAAAAGAAAAATTTTACAGGATTGAAAAGGCCAAAAAGGCCCTTTATGGGACTGAAACAGATTTTTTTGTTATCTGTCTTTGTTTATTATTATTTTTTTTTTTTACAATAAGCAGCGGTGACACCAGTCACCTCCCAACCAGTAAAACATGTTGCTGTCCAGTTATGTTGTGAGCAATAATATAGATGTCTAGGTCATGATATGTATTTGTAGTTATAACAGCTTCTGCATGTCAAAACTGTAAATGCGTAATCCTAGAATGTTAATTTCAGTTTAATGAAAAAGTTCAGCAAATGTTAGAAACAAAAACAAAAATTGGAGTCTGATAAATTACTATCATGTGCAAATGTCTGATTGAGTCAACTCGTTTGTTTTTGCTACATGGTCACCCAGATATGCTTTTCAAGGTCAAAGTCACATAAAATGTCTCGTTCTTAAGTGCATAGTCTAAAAGGGCAAACTGATACATAAGCTTTAGTAATAAAGCATCAGACCTGCGGTATAAATCAGTCGTGTCAACGAGGTCACTACTGTCCCTTTAAGTAGCTAGCGTGTCATTTCAAAAACAGACAGCAGGTTCCGCCAATAGCTAGTTTGCAGCCTTGAATAAATCAACCAATAGGAGTCGTCCATGGGCGGGACTTGAGTGTTTACTGTCTCATTGACTGTTAATCGTTGGATATGTTGACAAGATGGAGTTCTTGCTGGGAAACCCATACAGTACTCCGGTGGGACAGTGCATTGGTATGTTTTTCAGAAATGAAATGATGCTTAAACATTGTGTCAAAACAAGTTAACTTCTAAAGTGATGCATTTAGCTGAGACGCTGTACAAAATCTCACCATATGGAGAGCCTGTCAGTTAGCTGGCTAACAGCTAATGCTCATTCATGCTAGCTGCTCTAACTCAGTTCAAAATGTGCTGTGAAATAGAATGTGAAATCCTTAATTTTTTTAAATCGCCAATTCCAGGGAGGCGAAATGCTGAAATGAGTTTAAGTAAACTGTTACTACAGTGGTTAATAGCCTGTTAACCACAGGACAGTGCGTTTATCTCTCACACCCAGTTTCATAGCTAAAGCTTGAGGTAACTTAATGTGTGTAAATGAATCATACTAATCAACATTTATAAATGGCCACTCTGTGTGAGGAACATGACGGCTTTCTTTGGAAGACACCCAGCATTATCAAGCGCATATTGCACAGCGGTTTGCAGATCAGTGCAATGTCATTAGTGCCGGTGATTTTCTAGATTCTCTATTAGAAACGGGCAATAACCAATTCTCTTATCAGTTTGCCTTTTGATCTTCTCCAGAAAGGGCCACCGATGGCTCCCTGCAAAGTGAAGACTGGACCTTGAATATGGAAATATGCGACTTAATCAATGAAACAGAAGATGGGTGAGACATGAAAGATGCATGATTCATTATAGCTTTTAACCTTTTTGCTGACATATTCCGTAAGCCTTAGGAAACGAAAAACATTGTTACACAAATCCAGAAGTTGCTGTCATTGTTGTAGTTGTACATATTTTTCATAATATAACATGTTTAATTATAGCTGAAGGATCAAGTCCAAGATTACATAACTTTTTTTTTTTATTCTTCAGCAATGTGTTATTTATGGAACCTGGTAATGCTTTCTTGCAGAATATGATTCATTTACTTGTCAAAATTTATTCAGACACCTTCAATATTTCTCAGATTATCACAGTTTATTCGGTATAGTTTAGAAAATGGTATTAAAATATGACAAGAACTTAAAAGTTATCAAATCAGTTGAATTAGGATTGAATAGCTGTCAATTGTTACATTTAAGTATACTATTAGATAATACTAAAAAATAGGTCAACCAATCACCAAGCTATTTTTAATTTTGTTCACGTCAGTCTGTGGTGTAAAAAGTTCACATTAGCAATTAAAGGAAAAAAAAAAAGTCAAACTGTCCCAATTTTTTTTTTTTTAATTTTACTGGTAGTCAACTGTATGAACAATCTTTGGGTGTAATATGTCACAGTTTACTTTATTTTGCTATCCTCTCTTACATAAATTAGCAATAGTGTCCTGCACCCATACTTTTTGGTTTGACTGTAACTCCATAATGAATTGCTTTTAGATGCATAATGTGTTATCTGATTTACAGGCCTAAGGATGCTATACGAGCTGTGAAGAAGAGGCTTAATGGGAATAAAAACTACAGGGAGGTGATGCTTACACTGACGGTGGGCAACAGTCTTACTAGCGGCTGATCATTTCTTTTTAAATTGTCCTGTGTTTATTTAGATTTTCTTAATGTGTTTAGGTTCTTGAGACATGTGTGAAGAACTGTGGCTATCGGTTCCACGCACTCGTCACCACCCGGGACTTCATAGATGGCGTTTTGGTGAAAATTATATCTCCTAAAAACAACCCACCGGCCATAGTGCAGGACAAAGTGCTAGCTTTGATACAGGTATGGAAAAAAATCTGGATTTTTTTGGTTTTGGTTGTTCAGAAGCAGTTAAGATAAATGCATTTGCCATATGGTTTACACACACCACGAGGAAAGGAAAATGACAAGAATGAGAGAGCATGATGGAAAGAGAGAAAGAGATAGAGAGAGGGGAGGAGGCGCATCATGGGACTGGTTACCTGATGCTCGGTAGTCAAGGAGATCCGGCTGATTCATTGGCACTGAAGTTGTGCTCATTACAACATAGTGGATCTGGTTACCAAGTTTGGTTCCAATGACCAAGGCTAACTTCAGTTTATATGGTCTTGCATTTAATGTCATGCCAGAAATTTCTCATAATAAAATGATTAGAATGATGTTGTCCAAAGAAACTAGGCGAGTGAAGTCTGTGCTTTGCATTTTTGTTTGCCATTCAAACAACTATTTAAAACAGTCATCTGATGGTAGTTACTACACTACTTTTCAAAAGTTTGGGTTTAGCATTTTGTTTAGCATGGACACATTACATTGTTCAAAAGTAACAGTAAAGATATTCTATTTCAAATAATTGTTAGTCCTTTAAACTTTTTATTCATAAAAAAAAACCTGAAAACAAAATATATCACTGTTTTCGACATTGAAAAATAATAAAAAAATGTTTCTTGAGCACCAAATCTGCATATTTGATTGATTTCTGATGGATCATGTGACACTGAAGTAATTCAGCTTTGTCATACAGGAATAAGTTCTATGATATAATATATTAAAATAGAAACTGTTATTTTAAATTTGAATAATACAATGCTACTGTTTAATTCTATTATTGATCAAATCAATGCAGGTTATCAATGCATGCTTTGGTGAGTCTTCTTGCAAAATTTTATTTGAAAAATCTCACCGAACCCAATACTTTTAAACAGTAGTGTAGCTTGTTTAATAAGGTATTTAAAGACTAACTAAACCCTAAACCAACTTTTTTTAGTTAATGATCTGTAAAAATGGATCTTTATTAATTCCAGTCATTGATTCGAGGAACTTTTTTGACATTTGTAAAGATATAAAGTGATTTATTTCTACAATATATGGTGTAAAAAAGTATTAGTGCTGCCCTCTTCAGGTTGAACGGTGGCTACTGCAGTTGAATTTTCCTATTAGATGTGAGCGGTTCTTCGTGACATACACAGGTTTCAGCTCACCACGCGAGCTACGCCCTTGGCAGTGTAAAAACCATCTTGTGTCGTCAAAACCACTGTAGGGAGTCAGGAGTTGGAATTGCGAGTATTGAAAACGATCAGGATAGAGTGTTTTAGCATCTATTTCGTCCACTCTATCTCCGCTGGGGTCTGCCCACCTTTTCAGCATTTTTCAAATATTGCCAGTGGGTGAGGTCAGGCTCTGACCAGGGGTTTAGTTACCCTTTAATGTTCAAGTGGAGAAGATCTGAGCAGCCGAAATGTCCATTCCTTTAGAAAAGTTGAATAGTGTGCAATAGTGTTGGGCGATATGCTCCATTTTCATATCGTCCTATCGTCAGCCTGTGAGATCGGCGATACACGATATTATCGTGAGGGGGCGGGGCTAACTTATTTGATTATTAACTTGATTATTCAGCCTACTCATTAAATTGCTTGTTTTATTAGCCTACTTCGTTTTATATACGATAATCTTTTTTTCTATTTTGCTAGCAAAGGTGGAGTGTTTATTAATAGGATCGGGTTATTTCCTGGTATAGTGAGGTAAAAAAAAGAGATCCTAATCCTTTTGTTTGTCAACGGGAAATTTACGGACACATTAGCCTATTTTCATGCCGTTACATGCAGCATTTTGACTAGGGTCTATTTCTGCACGAGATGAAAACACGTTTTAATAATTTCTTGGGTCAGAAAAAGTCGGAGTTTGCGATATGTGCCCCCCTAGCAGTGCGCTCTCTGCGCACTTCACATGCGCACTTCAGTAAGCACGAAGTACGCGGGTTAATGTGTTTTAAATGCCGGGAGAAACAAGAGCAAGGGCCAAACGTCTAGCTGAGTCGATTGGTTTATACTTATACTTATGACTTGACTCTGATAAAGGAAACGTTTACATGACCACATGCATTGTCAAGTTTATTCAACATAATCAGGTTAAGAACGTCGTTGTTGCATGTAAACGCGCTCAATCTCTGAAAGTGAAAGTAAAAACGGACTGCTTTCGGCATCTGCATTAACGCCGCGTTCCCTCAGAGACGACGATTATAACGGTAACTAATAATACTATTTTGGTGATATTATTATTAATACTATTTAGTAATTGTATTGTTTTTAGTGTTGGTGTCATTAAATGTTTTGTTAATGTGTTATGGAAACAAATACTGACGAACAACGATGCCGTTTTCATCTTGGATCTGTAGGAAATTAAATTTTGCGTCTGTTAAAACGAGCACACTTGATAATTTGTGAATGGATCACCTTGCAATTATATTTTGATGTGGGATGTTTTTTAGTCTGTTTTAAAAACATTCTCTTAGAGGAGTCCTCATTAGTGCGTGTCGGTGTTGTTGCAATTGTTATGAGGTGATGTCGTTGTAAATTTAGGCAAGGCAAATTAATTGTAGTTCCTAATATTCATTTAATAACAATACTAGCTTTATAATAATAATAATAATAGGCCTAATAATAATAATTTAATACATTATGGTAAAACGAGCCAATTATCGTATTGATATCGTCAAAGGCATCTGCCATCGGCGATATGTCAGACTATCGTCGATACACGATACTATCGTCTATCGGCACAACCCTAGTGTGCAACACCAGTTATAAACTCTATTAATAGCTAGCTATTCTAATTCAATTTATGTTTCCACATATTAAAGGGTTAGTTCACCCAAAAATGAAAATTCTGTCAGTATTTACTCACCCTCATGTTGTTTCAACCCCGTAAGACCTTCGTTCATCTTCGGAACACAAATTAAGATATTTAAGATATTAAGATCGCTCCTGCATACAGTCCATAGGCTTCTTGAGGTACTGGCTCTTGCTGTCCCCGAAAAGTCATCAAAGACATCGTTAAAATAGTCCAAGTGACTACAGGGGCTCAATCTTAAGTTTATCAAACGACGAGAACACTTTTGTGCGCAAAAAAACAACAAAAATAACGACTTTATTTCAACTATTCGTTTATTTCTCCCTCTGCGTGAGTCAGGTTACTAGTTTAATAGCGCAAGCTTCTGTTATTGTACGTCACACGCATCACACACACATGACCAGCGTCGGCCAATAGTGAGCCTACGTGTGACGTAGCTCTACGCAATCACACTACGTTAACTGACTACAGGCCCATGGAGAAGGAAGTAAATAGTTGAAATAAAGTCGTTATTTTTGTTGTTTTTTTGCGCACAAAAGTGTTCTCGTAGTTTGATAAACTTAAGATTGAGCCCCTGTAGTCACTTGGACTATTTTAACGATGTCTTTGATGACTTTTCGGGGACAGCAAGAGCCAGTACCTCAAGAAGCCTATGGACTGTATGCAGGAGCGATCTTAATATCTTAAATATCTTAATTTGTGTTCCGAAGATGAACGAAGGTCTTACGGGGTTGAAACAACATGAGGGTGAGTAAATACTGACAGAATTTTCATTTTTGGGTGAACTAACCCTTTAAGTTTCCATGTACTCTATTTATCAGGCATGGGCAGACGCCTTCAGGAGTAGTCCAGATTTAACAGGAGTAGTCCACGTCTATGAAGAAATGAAGAGGAAGGGTATTGAGTTTCCAACGTCTGACTTGGAGACCTTGTCCCCCATTCACACACCACAACTGGTAGGTGTTGACTCCAGGTATGTTACGGTTTGTTTGTCACAGAGGTTATGGTGGCTTCCTCTAAAATATAATGGGCCTTATCATTTACTTAACTTTATCGCTTTACCTTCCCTCTTTATCTCTGCACTATCTCTCATCGTGTTGATAACAGCTGCAAAGTGCTCCAGAGATGGACCAGCCGAAATACAGTGCCCCAGTCCAGCCCAAGCCACTGCCTCACCCTCACCCTCACCCTGTCTCTGCTCCTCCCTTCTCTGCCCCTGTGACTCACACCTCCCCACAGATGCCCAATCTGCCCATCAACCCTTCCCCAGAACAGGTACTACAGAACCTCCTCGTTTCATTCTTTTACATTGGATGGATCAACCACAGATTGCTTAATGATGTCATAAAATATCATTGATTAGATTTGCAAGCTGCGCAGCGAGCTCGACATTGTACGCGGGAACACTAAGGTGATGTCAGAGATGTTGACCGAGATGGTTCCCGGTCAAGAGGATCCATCTGATCATGAGCTTCTGCAGGTTTCTCATTCAGTTGTTATGTTTATATTGCTAACGTCTTGAAAGAGCTACATGAGGCCACTAGAGGGCGTGTTGGTACAGAGCATTTTTATTGTTCAGTGTTAAAAGGTTTGTTTGCTTTGTTGGAAGGAATTGAACAGGACGTGCAGGGCCATGCAGCAGAGGATAGTTGAGCTCATCTCACGCGTGTCCAATGAGGAAGTCACGGAGGAGCTCCTGCACGTCAACGACGACCTCAACAACATTTTCCTACGATATGAGAGGTGTGGACAAGCAGGATGAATTTGCCTTTTCTGAAAGGGATAGTTCACCTGAAATGTTTCTTCATTTACTCACTCTCATGTTGTTCTAAACCCATTGGTTAATCTTTGAAACATGAAGAGATTTTGGGTAACACTTTACTTGATCATGACATGACATTTGTTATGAATATGAAGGAAGTTTTATACATGTTTGTGACAACTGTCATTAAGTGTCATTCACTCAATTGTGACATTTTGAATGCAAATATGACATTGTTTGAGATGTCTTTTGTTATGACACTTTGACATAAACCAATACAACATAACCTGTCAGTGTCTTTGTCATGACAAC